TCCTTTTCGACTGTATTTTTTTTTATTTGTGTTTGCATAATTTAATTAAAATGATAATCCTATCTTCAGCTAAGTAGTATATATATATATGTGTGTGTGTGTGTACACATATAATAAAGAAATTATGTAATACATTAAATTAGGTCAAATAATCAAGACGATGAAGGCAAATGCTTTAATGGAGCTTGTTACAATTTGCTTGCAGCGGTAAATAATTAACGTTAGTAGTTAGAAATATTTTATCAGATATTAGACAATAGGTACTTATAATTACAACTCCATATTAATATCCATATCTGAAGTCCTAGTCATCATCATTCCTGTTCTTATCCCAGTTATTTGGGGTGGATGTAAAACGATTTTATTCAAATTACAGGTTTCGACTTATGATTTTACGATGGGCCTGACGTCAACGCCCTGAGAATATCCTAATAACGTTATAAATATGAAAAATTATAAGATATTTAAATATTTGAATGTTCGTAACACACCCAATATAGCAATTAAATATACTTCAAATATTCTATATAAGATAACTACATAAATAGACAATAACATATAAGGCAGTTTTTATTTCAATTAACCCGGAGACAGCCGCAGGATACAGGTAGATAATATATGTTATTACTAAGTTTTAGTTGCATTATAATACCAACCAAAATAAATTCCATTAATACAGTAGAATCTCGATTATTCGATATTCATAAAACCAGGGGTATTCCGTATAATCGAAAATCCGGATAATCGATTTATAAGTCAAATAAAAAATATGTAATTAAATTTTAATATTTTTTTTATTATATATATGTCATTTAGACAATATGACATAAAAATACATATATAATTGGGAAATATAATTGGGTAAATAGGTATTATATAAATACTTTTTACCCAATATATACATAATATCATTTTTGATTGGTAATTAGAGTCGTGAAGAATAAGTCGGAATAATTGATAATTGAGGTTCTAGTGTATAACAAATTTAAAACTTTATCACGATATTAAGATAGTATTTTTGTATGCCAATAAACCATGACCTAAATTAGTTAACCTTATAAGTTTTATCCTAAAACAAATATAATATATTTCGTACTTTAGAGCTATAAATAAAATTATAAGACACTACAACACACATAGCATTACTATTTACTACTTTTATACGATATATGTTTTCGAAGCCAATTCCCCATTTGGTATTTCATTAAGAGGGTTGTCATTGACGAGTTGTCTGTTACCCGTTCGCTTGACAAAGACGAAACAGTAATCTAGATATATCCTTTTGTCAATGAAAACCTAGAGGAGTTCTGTGTACGAGATATCAAACAATAGATACTACTAACCTCGGTCCAAACGTTGTTGTTTGTACGTTTGGTATTTGTTAATTACAATTTAATACATAAACGGTATCCTGGAATAATATGTCAGTATAGAAAAATGAATATATTAAAAGAAATAATGAAGAACAAATATCTAAGCATGCATATCAAGCGAAAGATTTTCAACACTTGATATATGGTTGTGAATCATGGGCTCTAACACATCAGCAAAGAAAAAGATTAGCTAGTACACAAAGAGCAATGAAAAGGAGCATGTTTTTTTTTAATGGGTGATAATGGAATAATAATTATAAAATCAACAGTGAATGACAATGAAAACTGAAATAATCCATCAAGAATAAAAACTAAAATATACCCAATATTGCTAGCAATGGGATTTTTAATCTCTATTACTAACAATCCTTTTCTCCCCGGAAAGGAGCATAAATCTATATATAATATAATAAGAGCATTTAAAATGGGGTTGGTCAGGACATATGCTACGTTGCAAAATTGACAAAGGGAGTAAACAAGTAACTTTATGGTATCCAAGAGAAGACACTAGAAGAAAGGGGCGTCCGAAAATAAGATAGATAGACGACATCTGTCAAACCTTAGGGCCTTACTGGAATAGAGTGGCGGAGGATAGAGTTCAGTGGAGAGAGCTGGAGGAGGCTTATGCCAGGAGGCACACCGAATTGAGAGATATATTATAATAAATAGAAAGGGAAAAATGTCTTACTAGGGTTATAGAGAATTCGGAGTAAAAGGGCTTGTATATAGAAAAATGAATTTATTCTATCTATGACGTGGGTTAGTCTTTATTCCAATCAATGCTATCAACGCTACTGTTTATATGTATTATGTGTATATTTATGTATTAAACACACATAATATATATAAATGAATATATATGTGTATTTAAGGATATAATTAATAATAATGTGTAACAAAAATACTGACGGTTGGCCCCGGCATCGAATGGGCCACCCCATTTTGTCCTATAGATGTCGTAAGAGACGACTAAAAAAGTTTAATAGTCGAGGGATTGGCAGCAGCGTCTCCCTTAATACATCAACAGAACCTAAATGCGGTTGCCAACCCGCCTGCCAATCGTGGCAATTATTGACAATAATCCCCTTACAGGGGGGGGTTATGTCAAGCAGTCAACAGTAAACGACTAATACAATAAAATATAAAATAATCCGTACCAATAATTACTACAAAAGTAAACAGCTTTCTACAAAAATAATATGAGAGAAATATAAATCAAAATCAAAAAATTAATTTTAAAATTATCTGTAACTACTCGTTCTAATATCACAACCAGGTTTATTCAAAAGGTATATTTTTCCCCTATTTTGGCACATGCTCTTTCGCCTTATCCTTTTATCTCCAGATTATGAATATAATAGTACCTACCTACTATTTACAATAATCGCTAGTTGTTACACTAATAAAAAATATTTAAAATAAATTTAAAATCTGATACCACACATTCTTGTATTATACCATAATAATAATGAGAAATATTAATACTCGTATTATAAACTATTCTTGAGGTAATTAAGGATACCTAAATATAAAAAAAATCTACAAAGTAATTAAAACCATTCAAATTTTATAAAATTCAACAATATTTGACATCAATAGAAATAAAAATTTTGGAAAAGGAAGCAAAAGAATAAAAATGAATACTTGAACCTGACTATAATTTTTTAATCCATAACATTCGTTGAAGTAAACCTTACAAAAAGTTTTTTGTTAATATTTTATATTTTGATATTAAGTCAATGACAAACTTTTTTTGATTAGGGAATATATGCCCACGACATGTTTTGCTGTTCTATAAATTCCGAAATTACATTTTTGATCTCAACCATCAAATTTCAGAATTATAAGGGTAAACATTTTCTTTAACAACACCTGTTGGAAACGTGATGAAAAATAAAAACTGAATGTAATTGGATCCACGTGAATTTTATCCCTTTTTCCTGTTATAAAATCTTATTGCGAATGGAAATATCTTTTGCCTAAATAAATACATGGAAAAGGAATATTTGCGTATTAAATTTTAGATGCATTTACATTACATATTATGATCAATAATATCTACTTTACTTCCTACAAATATTATAATCGTATATGTTAAGATATATACTTGGATTTAACATCCAAGTTTATATTAATCAATAACACACTTAATACAATTATATTGGAATGAATTTGAATGAAGTTTTATATAAAGAATAGACTATATTCAAAAATTCACAGACTTCAAAAGAATTTGAGTCTTGATTCGCCTGTATATTAATTCTATTTTGATTTTTTTTATTTTAATAATAAAATTCACTATTCCATATTTCACTATTCAATCACTATCGTCTTTTTCTTCGCGTAGTAAGTTCTTCGATTATTCTTCATTCACGCAGGTAGAAGAGGCACTTAGGAAGTAATAATAATAGCTTTTATTTAACAATCTTTCTTACAACATAGTTGCAATAATCTTATGTAATGAATTGGCACCAGTACGTGAAGATTATAGGCCTCCCCTAGAGTTCGCCATCGAATGCCATTCTGCGCTTGTCTTTTCCAGGTGTGCTCTCGTATTCCCATCTACGATGCTGTCTCCCTTTCTTTCCTTTGTATTGTCTCGGTCACTATTCTGTAACGTCCTTAGACTATTTTTCCTTATTGATCCTAATCATATGTCCTGCCCACCTCCATTTCTATGGATTTCTCCGGATCTAGTTTTCTTCCTTACAGTATCTAGTTTTATTTTATCTTTTAATTTGATGTTAAGCATACTTCATTACATAATGTGTTGGCAAGTTTCTAATTTGTATATGTTATAATTAGTAAAGCTCCAGGTCTGGCATCATTTGTCATAACAAGCAGAATACACGAATTAAATATTTTGGTATTCGCTTTTAATTAATATTTAATTCTAAATACATACAATTAATGTAGAGGTAGGTAGTTCATATTTACTTTTTTTAACTGTTATTATGATAAAAACACAATATCATAGGTATTCAATATCAAAGAACCAGCAAGAATTGCTTCAAAAGAACTAGTCCATAAGCTAAAAGATTCCCTTGGGCTGCATGGGCTAGAGGCTGTCTCATAGTCAACCGTGTTGTACAAACAGACATTTCAAAACGGTTTTCATGGAAAGGAGTTCGTTCCTAAGGCTGTACATTTGTACGTATACATATAAGCGACCTTATTTTAATTACGTTGAAATAATTTCATAGACATATATTTATTATGAAGGTTTATAATGAACGATCATCATTACACACTTTTATTTAATATCATTATGACAATAACAATACTATACAATACAACAAATACAATAATATAACAAATTATAATCTCTACTATGATTTTTATTTACTGAATATTTTTAACAAAAACTTTCGTAATATGCAACCATTATTTCCTTACGTCTCACATTTGTTTTTTATTAATAACATTATGACTATAGACAAATATTCACTTGTAAACAGTATTTTACACAAAACGACTAAACTTTACAAGATGTAATCTACGATGTGCTTAATCTGTCGACAAACAAAGAAGACACTAACGAATTTTAATTCTACTATTAATAAATAACAGTTTTTAACAATAAGGCAAACGTGCCATATAAGCTATTTATTACCTTTCTTAAAAATACCATTTGTAATTTTTATAACTTTAACTTTGTCATAACTGTAAATTTTACCTGCTATATTTTTTTTAGAAAATCTATTTGATCTCAAATAAAGACAAAAATTGATGTACAAAGTACCTACATACAATTGCAGGATCTATATATTTACACCAATACTTCTGTGTCAATCTGTGCACCAAATACTATTTATATCCAGCAAGTAACAAATATCTAGACATTTTTATAAACTTTATCGTTTTTTATTATTAAGATTTAATAACAAAGTATGTCTACTAGAAATACAAATATGCGGATCTATTTGGCATCTTCATCAAAGAATCCATTTTCTTCTTAAGTGTTTTAATGATTTGTAAAAAAAATTCGGATCCCGGGTTATTAATCTGTCAAATATTTGATGAATGACAAACTCATTATTTCGATGGCGAATTCTTATGAGATATCTATATAGACTTTTATATGAAGACTTCGAGGCTAATAATAATGAATTTGAAGTAGCGTAACGCCTTTGTGAGATATTAAACATTGAAATGTATAAAGAATTCTACTGAGATTAATTTATAAAATTATGAAACATGCATTATATTTTGCATTGGGTTAGTTGGTTGAGCTATTGAGATAATAAGAAAAACAAACCAAACAAACTCATTTTCCCTTTTATAATATAATATTAAATATGTAGTAAATGTTTATTATTCTTGTCTCAAACCAACATACGAGTAGAATATCTTTTTTACCGACTTCAAAAAGATTTCTTTTCTCAATTCGATTGTTTTTTTTTTTACGTTTGTTACCTTATAACTCCGTCAGTTACAAACCGATTTAGAAAATTCTTTTTAATCTGAAAGGATATACTTGATCCTATAGAAATTTTATCACAATCGGTTTAGTAGTTTAGCTTTTAAATAACTGATTTTGTCACAATTGAAGTCGGTTTTTGTGGAACGCAGTTTAATTATAATTATTATTATTTAAATCATTATACTACATATTTAGTCTCTTTAGTTTAACATTTCGAATGTTCATATTTCATTTAATTTAACTTTTACACACTATATTAATTCTGTGTTTGTTTGATTTCGTTTAAATATTACTAAATAAATTAATAAGTAAGTTGGCAAGGGTTTCTATGGATATAATCCATCTTTATCCATTCCATATGGAGATTCTGCACGTGTTCTGAAGTAATAATTTCCAGGAACACTGTAAAATAATTAATATTTGTAATTCTCTTGTTATAAAATTACATCCGAGCACATAATTTGTTATTGTGGAACCTTAGCAGTTAGTCAAGTACCTATCTTGCTACGATTGATCATTGAACTTCTAGACACATATAAATCCAATAACACTAGTATTAGGTATTAAAAAAAACTGTGAATGTAAAGTAAGAGTATCCAGACATAAACAAACAAATAAAAGTACACAGAGAGTTAATTTTACCTACTGGAAATTACATATAAGGAAACAGCCCACTTAGTGGAAAGAGGTCTTATGTAAAACCATTGTTAATATATCAATATAAGTATGATCATGGCCATTGCTGAATATAAACTTTATTCCTTATAATACGATATCATGCGTTATCACTGCCGAAGACTAAGCTTATATTACTGCTGTGAAACTAGAGGAAAACGCGTTTCGCTTAATCGAGTCCAATCTATTTTTACGTTTCCCTATCGTACTGTATTTTAACTAATACTAGATATAACCCATAATACAGTCTATCTCATTTAGATAAAAAATATATCGGATATCCCTATCCCCGTTCATCTATCCCAGCCAATCCTTATACCAAACTTGATTCAAATCCGTTCCGGCGTTTAAATGTGATCAACTAACAAACGTATAAACATTAAAACTTTCAACATGTTTACAAAACTTTCACATCCTGGACGTTTGTAACGTAAAAGTTAAATATTTTAGTGTTAGTTACTCAAATAGACTGTATCTCAGATACACGTGGAGACATTGATCCGATTTCATGAAAATAAAGCTGTTGATGATTGCAAATTAATATTATTAGTGTGATATGAAAGTTTGTAAAAATGTTCATGTATTTGAGAGGTATCAGTCTATCCAAAATCATTAGAAAAATACGGCTGTACCGTTCTAAGAGAATGCAGCGAATAATGCGAGCGCGAATGGAGTTATACTACCTGTTATAAAAAAAGGTAGAATAATAATAAATTGACAGCATCAATTCTCCTTATCCTTCTTATTGAGACTCGTGTATGACTCCCCCGCAAAATCAGTTTTTTTCCAATTATTTCTCTCCATCTGTGCCAATCTTTCGAAATCATGGAAAGTATTAGGAGGGAATCAGGTGTCTAAAGATGTGCAGTTCAATCAAACCATTTTGTACGACTGCGCTCTCTTGATAATTTGTTACTTAAATCGGCCTTAAATAACTCTATAGATGTGAAAATATCACAAAAAATTACATGGATACCCCACATTCTAGATTCAATTATCTCAATCCGTCCACAGCTTTAGCTAACGGCTATTTAAATATAAAACAAAATAATCATAATTTTATTAGTCTATAGGAATAAATACCTACATATTTTGATGATAAATTCCAATTTCCAATAGTACTGCATCTTTATCTTCCTGCGAATATTTCTTCCATTTTCTATAATTCTCTGCGTACCTCCCTATTAAGGTGCCTGGATATTTTAGAGAGTCCACCAAAATTTGCCAACATCTATTGTGATTACATAGGTCTGAAATACAGATTAATTCACTAAAATATTAATTGAATTATTTATTTTCATACGCCAGATTAGAGTGCTGCTTTCCTAAAAAAATGTTCAGATTATCTTATTTGGAAAAAAAAATGTTAAGTAAATATATTTAAGTGCTACACGATTACACTAATCACCTGATTTTCGAGCTAGGATATCCTGTATTATGAGAAACCAAACAACGTACATCTATGAGTGAGTATGAATATTGAATAATAAACCTTAAACATCAAACTATAACTCTGCCAATTTTCATTCAAATTAATAGATTCATAAAATCTTAGCAAAGTAACAAACAGACACAGAGATAAATTGATTTGATCTAGTGATAATTTCAGCTAGATGATATGTACTACACCACTCCATAATGTCCTATTAACGTCCTACAATTGGACAAAAGCTCACACCCCGTAAATAGTGCCTACTTGGCTTGACAACTTGATGTATAGTGGAATTACTTCGAGTTTTATTTTGTTTACATAATTTTTTGTACCATTTAACATATTATATAACGCTAGTTCTAAAATAACCAAAACTTGTATGTAAATGATTGTATAATACAGGATCGAATCCATGACTATCGAAATGTGAAGCGGAGTGTTAAACAACCACCAAGATCATCAATGATTAATATTTTTTACTAAAAACAACATACATTATTACTGTATTTTAAAAAGAGTTGTATATCAGAATAATCTGTAACATCCATTGTGTTGTTTATTTAGAACACTTTCTACCAAATTAGCTTATTAACCATTCTTTATTACTAAATAGGAAATTATTGTGACAACCCTATAAGCTAGAAGAATAAGAAATACAACATTTACTTACAAAGTACTCGTATATGACAAACACACTTATCTGAACCTGGCAACAAATTATTCCAGGCTGTTGAAATAACTGACATGAAATAATATTATTAAATCTAAAAGTCTTAGATTATATAAATAGAGTGTCATCATACAAATGTTTCGAGAAAAACAGCTAAACCTTTTCATACAATTTTTCGTTATAAATAGTTATGAGTCCTTTACAACTTCTATATTCATTTTGTTTTATAATTTTTACATCTTTTTAATACGTAAAAACTCATTTTATTTATTGAATAATTAAATATAGATATATCAAGACATTATGTGCGTAAGTATATAGAACACTGATAAAAAAACATAGCTGACTTTCTTTTTACAATTAGCTGACAAAAAGTTGACCCCTTTTTGATATTCGATACTCTATCTATAGATTATAACCTAGATTATAATCTAAGAACTAAATATATAGAATTATTTATTGCTGATTTTAATGGAATTTAATTTGAGAATATATTAAACTTTTTAAACACAAAACGTATATTGTTTTTTACTAAAATTAAAAATGAATGTAGGTAGACGATGTTTCTACATGGAATATATTTAAGAAAAAATGATATGAAGGATCTTTAAAAGAAAATTATTGTTTAGAAGCCAAAACAATAACATTTAGAAATTTCGTCTGTCTGTATATTTGTTCCGGCATTACGCAAAAACTACTGCACCAAATTAGATGTAATTTTCACAGTGGAGTTTCTGAAGATGCAACTTGAAATCTGGTGTATTTTATCTTGATACTCCATCTAGAACTGACTTATTTAATTGCTTTTTTTTATGCAGCTTAGTTTTCCTGCTTTTCACGCCTACGAAATAGCGTGTAAAAAGCTAATCTCGGATAAAATGAAATACTATTTTGGGTAACAAAGTACCAACTACATAAAGTAATTATAGGCCGTCCGAATATTACGATGCACAATTTTACACACTAGCTCTACAACTATTCGAAAATCGAAGAAATCTTCGAATATTATGCAGCCAATTCTGATAAATGGTTAATATTTATATAATTATAAGTATTCATCGCTGTATTATACATATATTTATTTTAAAAATAAAGTGTTATAGCTCAGCGTCAGATTAACTCTCCGCTGTTATTATTTGCAAAATACTTCTTTGTAGGTTTCATACTTCCAAAGGAATGAACGGAACCATTATAGGATCATTTCATTATCTGTCCGTCCGTTTGTCAGTCCGTCTGTCAAAACCCTTTTTCTTAGGTACGTGGGGAGATATCAAGTTGAAATTAATATCATATACTCAGGTCTGTAATCTCTTAAAGCAGTGAAAAAATCAAGCTTCTAAATTGACTCAATCAAAAGATAGGGCCGTTTATGTTCGCCATTTATATCGCATATTTTGACATTCGCAAAGGGAATCAAAACCTATAGGATACTTCTTGTTGACCTAAAATCATGAAATTTGGCAAGAAGTAATATCATATAGCACAAGTAAAGGAAAAAATCCAAAAACCGTATTTTGTAATTATTTCACAAAAAAACGACGATTTTGTAAGGAATCCTCGTCGTGTGAAACTATGACCGACTTTTTTTTATAAATACACCTGGTAAAAATAACGACCATACTTTCTGTTTTGTAAAGTTATATTGTTGTGCGGTAACTTTGCCCACTTTCAGCACTCATGACTACTCTATCGTGCAACGGTCAGGGATTAATGGCATTACATCATTAGTGATCATTAATATCGACCTACTCATTTAAGTCTATAGGTACTCATAAAGTGATATTAATATTCTCAATTAATGAACCTCAAACGCTTAATGATAATCCAATATTACCTACTATGTACTTGTTGTGTTTATGCGTTTTATCTTACCAGAGAGAGACTTTGTACAAAAGTCGATTGCTTGAGTACCTCTGTCCCATTCGTGTTTCAACCGTGAAGCAGTTGTGTTTGCATGGCTGTGTTTCGGTTTGAAGGGTGGGATATGGCGTGAATTTACTGGGTACAGAAGAATAACACCTGAGTCCTCAGGAATGGTAACGCATGGGTGGTATCATGGGCGAAACAGTATACTCTGTTATGTACATTGTATTGCTCATGTCTATAGGCGACGGTTACCACTTTCCATCAGGTGGGCCGTCAGCTTGTTTGCCATTCTAAGTTATATAAAAAAAAATCTACTCAAAATTAATTTATCTATCCACCTATAACAAATCTCGTAAGCTTGGCTTTCCAGTTAAAAACCATTTATATACTCTAATTTAAATTTATATTTTAGGATTCGTTTAACTAATCTGATAAAACATACATCAGTTTTTAAGTAAAGTTAATACTTACTTAATTATAAATTACTGAGGTTTACTTTGTAAAGAAAATGTTTCGCGTTATTACTTTCAATTTGTGAAAAACTAACAAACATACTCCCGAGCGTAAAAATTTCATTAAACACTTTATCTCTTACATTTTCACGTAGATTGATTAAGTTTCATTTTATAAGATACCTACACAAAAATATGTATGATACTTTTAATTAAATTTCGTTGCAATTTATAACGTATCTACATTTTAATTATGATACATATAATTAAATTATTACGAAAGGATATATAATAACCTTCTGCACTAAATATGGAGTGTTGTCGATTGCTGCAACCCGGTTGTATGACAGGCCCGAAATTTCGATAATTAGGCCAGAAGTCGACTGTTCCCATTTGTCGTTTATAGCCGTATCGGTCAGGATCCGAATGAATGACATCTACGAAGCCAGCCGATCCCGCGTGTAATTTAGATGACAAGGGTCTATTCTCGAACCCAACTGAAGCAGGATCTAAACCTGTTATCCTGAAAAAAGAATCATTATGATATCTATAGCAATAATAAAACAGTGGGGGTTTTCTGACTACGTATTTAGACATGGACTGTTTAAATAAGCAAATTGGATAGACTTTTGAATAATATTGGGCATAGTATGTAACAATGTTTGAGATATCTTTATCTAAGGAAATAAAAATCTTTCTACTAAAGTACATGATCTAGTTTAGTAGTGTCTGAACTTATAAGCCACAAATTATCACAATCCTACTTCCAAAAAGAATATAAATGCAATTTGCGGTTGCTTGTGAGTGATCATAATACATTAAACTATCAAGATCTACAGAAATTTAATTATAAGCGATTTACAAGCTACCTCACGAAAATACTCATTACCTTCCTCATACCTATAAATATAACTAGATACTGAATTTTGCTATTATCTATCATCTTATTGATTTATTTTATTTATTCATTAAAATAATTACCTATAACAATATGACAGTAAAAACCAAATCAATGTTATAATCCTAGTGTGCTTACATACAAAATTATAATAAAGGTATTTAACCCGACTCCAGATATTTCTGAGCCGCTTCTAGTATCTTTGACTATTACTAAAAATGTCAATGATGTTTATAATATTATTTAATTTCTGTACTGCACGAGTTAAGGGAATATACTTATGTATCGTTCTTTTAGAATAACAAAACGGCAGGCAGCTACAGGTATTAAACTCTTTCTATATTATTTTTCGGAAGAAAACAAAGAATTCTTTATTATATCTTGTTGTTTTAGAGCAAATTTACGGTTCACTTTTTAATTAAAAAACCTCATTTGTAAAGCTCACCACGCCACCTGAGTTCCTTCTTTAGACAATATATTTCCAGCTATACCGAATAGATGGGCGCCTAAGGAGTGGCCCACTAGATGTGTGTTACTTAAATTAAGTCCAGCTTCCGACAAATTTTGTAGAGTTTGAGCAAACATTTCCCCCACCTGAAAAATTAATTTTTCAAACATTATTATAAATAAATTCTTTAATACATGCGTTAAAGTTGTGCAAATTATAGACTGTGGACCTCTTTTTTACAGGGTATGTAAAAGTGAACTTAATTACATATTAATAACTAAATTTACATATTAATTTCTTAGCTATTGTAGGTACCATCTATACAATATAATAATTCGGATTAAGATATTTATTTCTTTTAAGATTTCAATCTTAATGTAATAATAAAATGTCCCGTGTGATCCCGACATAAAATAGGCCACCCCTTCCTTTCCCGTGGGTATCGTAAGAGGCGACTAAGGAAGGCGAGGGATGGGCAGCAGCGTTCCTCTTAAAACATCTCTAAAGCCTAACTGCGGTTACTAATCCGCCCGCCAAGCATGGCAACTACTGACAAAACCCCCCTACGGGGAGGTTTATGTTTAGCAGTGGTCAGTTAAAAGCTGATATGATGAATATATTATAATATGTAAGAATATATACAAGTAAAAATAATATTGAAAATAATTATTCATAATATATCTCTACTTTGTAAGGACAACAAATTTTTTTTTCTTTCTTATATAACTTGTTATGATGATTAATAGCTAGCAAACAAAATATCTAGTTTAAAATCAAGTAACAGTGGTACAGAATCCTAGAAAGCTGTACGTGTACGACTAGTTTTTGTTTCTTTCTAGGTTTCATCGTAAGTATGTGCTGTCTTGTTACTAGTATTATAAATGTGAAAGAACGACATCAGTATTGGTATATTAATGTCGTTCTTTTCATATTTACGACTTTATCCATGTAAGCGTGGTTGCTTACTAAAAAAAATTTGTAATTTTGTAAAAAAATATTTGATATGTCCACATATATACACAACGAGTATATAAAGTAAGTTCATAGAATTCCCGTTATGCATGTGTGTAGCTATCGTTAAAAATATACATATGTTTTAAAAATAATATTCGTATGAATTGCCATTTGTTGATTAAATTGTTTCTGTAAGTGTTAAAAGCATAATTAAACTTGAATTTTGCATTAATACTAAATAATATACACTTTATTACGTTTGATTATAGGAAAAGAGACTTTGAATCTCAACCACAGAACTGATCTGTTTCATTACTGTTTAACTGTTCTAATTTATTTATTTAAACTTCAAATGCATAATTATATAATATAAGTAAGCGTATAAATGGCGAACTTAACACCTAATTGCGTTATCTACCAGTCAATCATGAGGCAAGCAGAAAATTAATTAGGCGGTGCATTTAATTTTTTTTTATACAACTTAGAACGGCAAACAAGTTGGCGGCCCACCTGATGGAAAGTGGTAACCGTCACCTATAGACATGAATAGTACCATGGACATAACAGAGTGTACTGTTTCGCCCATGATACCCCCATGCATTGCCATTCTTGAGGACTCAGGTGTTATTCCTCTGTACCCTGTAAATTCACGCCATATCCCTTCAAACCTTCAAACCGAAACACAGCCATGCAAACACAACTGCTTTACAGTTGAAACACGAATGGGACAGAGGTACCCAAGAAAACGACTTTTGAACAAGGTCTTCCTCTGGTAATTTAAATATTTGATATGCACCTAAAAGCAGAAAACTGAAAGCGTAAACTTTGCTTAATCATTGTGATGGAAGTTTATTATACGTACATTTAAATAAAGTCGCGAGCACAGTCAGAGATAAAGTAGAATTGTATGTCAGATAGTAACCAAAATCGAATTATAAAACACATAAATCACTTTGACTTTTATATTATTCCATTATCTTACCTTTTTAGCATTAGATGCAGCCCAATTTACATAAGAATTGAACATGTTGGAAAGCACTGGTGCTGCCAACTTTTCCCAATTTAACAATGCAACATTGCTCTTTCCCTGTTCCAAGTAGGAGTTTATTACGGCAGTTACTGCTGGCCCTCGGGGGTTACCTAAAATAATATATTATTGATGAAACAATTTAAAACCAGAAGTAACACGAGTATTGGAAATAAATTTTGAGTAGGTACGCACATTTTGAAAATTTTGAATCTTCAGAAAGAACAATTTTTCTACATTACGTCCTACCCTACTAATGTTAAAGTTTATATAGATATTTGTATAATTGTTGGTCAATCATGCTTATACTGCTGTATTAATTTGAATGAAATTTGGTATACAGATATGTTATAGTCTTTTCAATTAACTCAGAATGACGAATAAGCCCATCTTTAAAAAGTAGTAACCCTAATTCATGCTGCAAAGAACTAGTAAAGGGAACAACACATATCAATGTAAGAGTAGAAATACTTGAAATAAATCAACTCTCTTAGTATTAGTAGACTATAACCTCTATGAGTTTCTCTCATTCTTTCATTCATTCAAATCTTTGACTTGTGCCTTCTTTGACAATAACGGAACGCTAATTAATTGTAACAGAAACAACATACATATATAGTCAATATTTAGCAGATAGATTTAATATAATTGCTTCTTGTTCCTTCCTGAAATTGTTATATTAAAAGTTTTCGCGAAAAGTAACCTGCTATAATCAAAATGTATTTAAGTCTTTATTTTATTCTACGAAATAAACAATCATTATGCTCCTTTATTTTAATTTTCTCTAAAAAAAATAAAACTGTGATAAAAAACATAGTTTTATATTTTACAAGAGAAAATTACATACACAAAAGAAGTCGATTTGGCTTTTTCTGTTTTTACTGCCTCACATTATTTAACTTATGTAAATGTTTTAAGAAATTTAGAATTTTTATATATAATGTCCTCTTCGTCGAATCCTTTTATATTACTTTCATATGGACAGTGAACGGCTGAAATTCATTTATTTCAGCTTTTAAGATCTAAATTAAAAAAATAATATTTACAAAATTTATTTAAAATTAATCAAACCTCTAAATCCATGAGTAAATATAACTGTTGTTCGATTAGGATTATACCAATGTGATGAAATTACTTCGTTGGCTTCATTAAATTTGAATTCTTTGTAGTCATCAATGGAACTGAAACAATATCAAACATTGCATGCAATGAAAAATAGAATACTTAAATAATAATAAATAAAATAAAAGGATTTCAAATAATTAATAATATTTTTAAAGAAATGTTATTTAACACCGCACTTCTCACAGAAGAACTGAAGTTCCACAATTTTGCGTAGTACACAACTATTGTGTGTGCAAGATTGTGAAATGGGCTCCTATTTAGGTGTTTTTCTTTGTGCCATAATAGAAGATTTAAAAAAAAAACTATACTTTATGCAACTTAGAATAGCAAATAAGCTAACGAAATGACTTGATAGAAAGTGATAACCATCTAGCTAGCATTTAAATTTTTAAAAGGCCATCAATGCACTAACTATACATTCCCCATTAGCTTAAAACAACTCTAGCTTAAAACAATTCTACAACTATAATAATTTGAAACAAACATATGACGCCATGGTAAGCGCTTACCACGCCAGAGGCTGTTATGCTTTCAATGTCTGTAATTATAGCATGCGTGTTAGTCTTTAACAATGTTTTTATGCATTTTTTAAAAAGCTTTTGTAAAAATAAGTTCTGTAATATATTAGTAAAACCTTCAGAAGTGACTTATTACATAGAGGAAATAGTGTGTTATGTAAAATGATACCTACTTATCATTTGAATAATTTTCGAGAACGCTATAGTTTATACTTGTGTATACTTACCTAATGCACAAAGCTGTTAAAAATAGATACGTAATTGAAATAAAATATACAAAATAGGTATTTTGTATATTTCAATTATGTACAAATCAGCTTACTACATCATTAGGTACTTAAAATCCAACAACAACAATAACAGTATTTTCTTAAATGCGATTATTTTTACTTTTTTTTATTGTTTTGTGTACAAAAACAAAACAATAACAAAAAATATTGCACATATAATATCTTGTCCTTGTTCATAACGGAACCAATCCAGGACAATGCCCTTTCAACAACCGGTAAAGGCATTAAATATAATAAATAATATAACACGATAAATGACGTACGAGTGAAAAAGCCAGATTTGTCAGTTGTTATTTAATGATGCTAATTGTTATTACTCCTTCCGTAGCATGACAGCAAGCGAATAACCTACCCATATAGATTTAACGCAAATCAGAAGGTATGATATGATAACAGTTTTAAATTATTAAGGCAGAAAGCATTTTAAATTTTTAATTTGGCACTGGAATAAGATATTTTACTGAAATAAAAATTATTATTAACTTGAATATATATTAAGTTATCCATAACCAAAATTCCATTAAAATCTGTCCAGTGATTTTTGTGTGAGCGATGTTTGTTTGTAGGTTTTCAAGTTGAACATCTAATAATTAATTGTTATTGCCTAGTATCTCGTTATATCTCGTAATATATCTACCGGTAGCAATAAATTATGTGTGATATAGCTATATTATTACAGTAGTGGTATAGATATAATTATAATAATAGTATCTAGTAGAATTCTGGCTAATATACTGGCTAACAGTAGAAATTCTACCAATGGTGACAGAACAATCTAAAAAACAAATCCCTTTGCTAGATTGTGTTTAAGAAGAATTGAAAAATACTATAAATCAGTAACATTTTCCTCTGCAAAATATTTTGTGGGGGAAAAGATGCAATTATTTATGCGAATATGAATAAATATGGATACAATAAAAGACTCAAAGACTCACCTGTAATAAAGTCTCAACAAGGGCGAGTCATCACATACAACTGTAACAAAAACACTATAACATATACACAACATAACACACACATTATAACTGAAAAACATCTTTCTAACTAACCAGTAGCCTGACACTCGTAACGATGTCGTAGTGATTCCGCCATTAAAATCATTCGTATTCTTCTCATTGAATGGTCCCGATTTTAAAGTTTGTTGAATCTAAACATTATCGGATCGTTTTTGTATTAAATCTATATATATACTCGTATAATAAAAACTCGTGTCACGGTATTTGTGGTTGCATTTCTCCGAAATGGCTCAATGGATTTTTATGATTTTTTTTATATATTTGGTATGAGAATAAGCCGTAAAGTATATTTTATAACGTTTGGTGATTAGAGTGTCCCTATCCCTAATTTATATAGCAGAACAAAGTTTTCAGGATCAATTAGTATAAATAAATACTATTTAGCATATTTATCAATAGTTAATAAAGTTGTAATTTATAATTAATAAATATAAGATAGTTATTTAAGTTTTAATATCTACATAAAAAGAATACATAAATATAAATTTGGCCGGCGTTCCAATCAATTTACTGTTTAAGCTACGCTCTTAAGAGTGTTCAAAACGAAGTATGACAACGTCGTTGTTATTTGTAAATTTTCAAAAAACGATTCCACATTTTTCAATGTTTTCAACTAATTATTTAAAAAGTCCTCTGATAGTGAACTGAAATTTTAATCTTAGAATTCGTCGTATAAATACTACTAAAAATTTTGCACCTACTTTATAATCTACTTTAGAATTTTTCAAATATTTATTTACTGTCAAAAAGCTAATGTTCAGTAACAGTTTAAAAAATATACTAGTAGCGTGATTAACATGAATTCGTTAGTAGAGTACTTTTTAAATAACCCAACTAGAAACATTGAAAATTATATGGTTTTATAAATTGACATTTCCACACTTAGGTAAGTAAAAATTATGAACTACTTAACAATATAAATATAATTTTTATTTTTATTCGGGTATATACAATTATGATTTGCTTTAAGGAAAAATTTTTTCGAAATAAAATTTTGTTTATGGCAAATTCGTCTTTTAAATATGTCTGTTTCTATTTTTTTAAGTACATAATATACCTAAATAATTAAAAAGAATGACTACCTTTACAATTCATGTCACATAATTTGTTTTTTTTATTATATTGCCTACATCTTTACGTGGAATGTTTATAGGTTGTAATGGCTAAGTAGGTCCGCAACGTGCAACAAAAGCAGGCTAATTTTACGATTTAGACTACCATTAGCACATAAAAGTTTAGTTTTACTTCACCGCAAATCAATGTATGCATTGCATATACATGATTATACTAGATACCATAAGTAGATCGGCTTTTTCAGTATTAGCAGCACTTTTAACACTTTGTCTATTTGCAATATCAAATCTGAAGCATAAAGTACTATTATATATATTCTTTGTGAAACTTGACGTCTGTAAATATACAGATGGCACTAATTTCTACTTAAAAAGTTGATTAGCCCATGTCCTTTTTACAAGATTCAAATTATAAAAAATAACAGAATAATAATGGATTTTACTACAACATTGCCTCCCACTATATAAGTTAAAAATAAATTTTCATACAATTTTTCTTCGTTTGTTTTAATTTTGCTCAGTTTTCATTAATTATAAAAATGTCTTCCAATTATTAATTATAACAAACAAGTAAAAAATAGTAATTATAGAGGTACGAAAATTTAATTAATTTTCTACCCACGTCAACGACTTATACAAATAAACTTACCTGTACCCAGCAATAAAAAAATATATAAACTGGTGTTCATTTTGCAACTTTCACAAATTATCCCTCGATAACATATGAAATGTTTATATAGAAGTTGTTATCAGTATGTCCTCGCCACTTACAGTTTTTCATACTTACCTTGGCACATATCATTGATTTGTTTTTGAATAAATCTTTTAGAGATTTATTTAATTATTATAAGTAAATGTATCTTTTTAAAACATGATGGTGTCAGGGGTGTTCTCCTCTAATAATCCGTCCGGTTTTATAGTAAGGATACACGGGCATGCGACCTACGCCTTCCGATCCAATGTAGTTTTTACCTAGTATCCCCTGCGCAACTGCTGTTTCCCTTTCCCAGCTTCTCCATACGTCCTTCATTTCTTTTTTGCCGACTTTCTTTACTCACTCTCAACATACCCCTCTCCTTTCTTCTCAATCGTCTCTTTCTTTTCGTACCTACCTATATTGGTGGAAAAGCTACAAACGTAAGAGTTCCTCTGACAGTTTGGCAACTACGTATCACAGCCCCTACCTAAATCTGATGTCAAAAAGTGGGTCTCTGTGCCCATTGTTTTGTGATCAGTTGGGGGATGGCCAGTAGCTGAGCGAGAGTTCAATTTTGTACTCCGCCAAATCCGTCTCTTTTACAGTGTCGCTACGCATCTTTACACCACTCAGCTACCTTGCACATCTTTGGTGGAAACGCAAATAGTATGCAAGAATATTTTGCATCCAATTTTTGGAGGCAGCTCAGCTTTAAGAATCACAATCCATCAACATGTACAGAGGACATCACTGAAGATAGATTCTATGTGAAATGGAATATTTAATTTCAACATCGAAGATCCTCAGTAAGGAAAAATGTCATCCATGGTACAATAAGAGGTACGTTGATATTGTTACGGCTAAAAACGCAACATATGGTGCCTGAATTAAAGCGCAAACTACCAAACATCCAAACGTCGATCTTAAATCAGCTTATAAAATAGCCTTGAAGTACTCCTTGTTTTCAAGCTTTCAATATAAAGCTTTCCTAACCGACTTCGTAGCAGCATTGCGGACTTTGCGCCAGACAGTAGTTTGCATTTTGGTAGATGAAAATACCTCAAAATTCAAAGTAGTTAAAACTAGTATTCTCTAGGGATCAGTGCTGTTATCGACATTATTTCTGATCTATATTAACGAATTGTCTTGTGAACAAATCCACTGCTATACTGACGAAAACACCGTCCATGCGAAATACTCAGCACTACAGCTCACAGTCAGCGGGTCCTTCCATTATCCAATTAAGATGAGATGCACTTGTTGACGAAATCATTGAAACACTATGCAAGATTTCTGCTTGAGAGGACAATAATCTTAACGCATTTAATCCTAATAAGACACAAGCATGTGTGTTCTCCGCAAAAAATCCCTCTTTTCTCCTACTCATTACTTACATAGCATTTCTGTCGTAATAAGAGACAAGCTTGATTTATGCAGAATGTCGCTATGTCCCAATATAAACTACATCGAAAGTGCGGCTAAAACAACATCGAAAAACTTGGAGTTGTGAATAGAGCGTGACGGAACTTTACACTGGAGTAGAGCCTTCCAGTATATAAAGCAGAAGTAAGGTCGTGTGTATAGTACTGCTCACATCTCTGGGATGGCTTTGGTCTCCTACACGCTCTAGATGTTCTACAGAGGAGAGCTGTCTGTATCGTAGCAGAGACTAAGGTGAACAAATCTCTAGAACCTTTACAATTACTTAGTGAGAAGGCATAGTGCGGCCAATCGTTGAGAGCAGGATAGTCTCTTTTCGCTTGACCGCATGAATCTTAGACCATGCTGTCTCTGTGTTCGCACAGTATATCGTGCGTAATAAAATAATAACATTAGATTTTATTAGCAAACAAACCGGTAGCCCACCTGGTGGAAAGTGGTAATCTTTGCCTATGAATAGCACTGTGAATAACACAATACTCTGTAATTCAAATAGTAAATGACTAAAGTGTTGTATCTGTATCCGTATCTGAAAATGTCAAGTAACGCAATAAGTTCATATTTCTATAATGACAATTCCCATTACAGAAATAAAAATGTATTGTGTACATACTAATTACTACTACTATTAATTTATTTTATGACTTCAGAATAAGTATCATACTTTTTAAATTCTGTAATAAGTACATATTCATATTCAGGTTGTTAAAGAGTTCAACAATTTAAAAACCAGCAAAAATATTCATGAAACTAAATTTTTTAAACAATTGGTTTTATAACAAATGATATTTATGTATTCACGTTCTGAAGCATTAATAAAACAAAAAGGGATTGTAGTCATCAGACCCGAATCGTACGTGTTAAAAATAAAATTAAGTACATTTTCGTATACATGAAATACTTCATTATTAAATGGTCATATTATATCATTTGTGTAATTCGGGAATTTAAGTAATTATTATAATAAGGTCTTGAAATGAACATTAAGTAAATATCAACATTATTTCCTGTTACGAAATAAATAGTAAAAAACAATGTTATACTATTTCCAACGTTACCACATTGGAAATAATATAAACTATTAAAACACATTAGACCTATTTCTTGGCTAGATATTTAAATGAGATTAAACATCAATGTACGTGAACCATTTGTGTGGTAATAGTCAGTAAGAATATAGTGTGTCTTCGTTTTCAGGACCAGGTTGTCAAAAGAAGTGACTAAGGGAATATATCACAATAATGACGTAAACAATTGTTACACAAAATACAATAAAACTCAAAATAAACCCCTACCTGTACCAAGTCAATTTTACAACTTGGCAATAGTAAATTACTCTCCTATTCTTAAGTAGTGATACTCATGTCCAATAGGGGGACATTAATGGAATTTTATAACTACGATGGTACTAGATTGCGTTTTTCTCGCGAGCAAATTTTTTCCATACATTTCTGTAACATTCTTATATGGAAAAATAACATGGAAAAATAAAATTATATGGAAAAATCCACGCAAAATTTTAATACGAAAAAAACAGCACAGTGAAAATTCATACTGCTTGTGTCCTTGAACGTAATTCATTGTACCAAAAAAATTTATATCTACATAAACAAATTCGATCGACTATAGGGGTAAACAGCATGAGATAATTACGATACGCTGCAGTTTTTCTCTCCATGATGACATTGACGAAGGTCAACCAACAAATGTGATCATGAATTGGAATTTATGACCACAGTCAAACGGTTAACCTGATGAGTAACGATGATTCAACTATAAATTCGAAAACATTTCAATATTTATTTGTATTATTATTTAGACGTGAGATGACAAAATTACAAAAATATTGAATAATAGTAACTTAACTAATGCTACGATTAATATACCCCAATATAATAAATATAGCAGACGATTTTACTGATGTAAATTATATTTATTTTATACTGTCGTCCATCATGTAGCTTATAACGAACCTACGAATTATAAAAAAACCCAAGAGTTTTTAATAATCCATCTGGGAACTTATTTATCTTCTTTTAACTTAACAAAAATCGGGGCATGCTTACATTCACTTATTAAGTAGTATGCCTCTTATTTCTACAGATTGCACTGAAGCGACATGAACAGCACCATGTACATCAAACAAAACACTGTGATGGTCTCAATACCTTTCATGTAATGTCATCTCTAACAGGAAAAATAATATTTCTCCACAGTTCCGTACTCTGTAATTGCGTAAATTTCTTCAGATGTGAGCAGCAGTATTCTACTTTTCTAAAAAAATATTTTCTACTAGTCGTCGAATGGACACGTCTACACAGAGCAATCCAGAATTGTCGTGAAGCCATTCAAGACGTGCCAAGTTAGATCATTAATTGTTCCTTGTATTGTAGTCGTAATTGTAATATGAAAGTGCTGCGATAGCCAACTTTTTCCATCTAGTGGGATATCAGCTTGTTTAAAGCTGATATCCCACCAGAACTCCAGAACTAGCACACTTATTAATAGAATATCTATTATAAAAATATTTGGTAGAATATTTAGAAAATAAGATGCCTAACAGATATCAACTAAGTATACGTATGTATGGTTTTTAAGTGGCGACTCTGTACGGGCAAACGCATTGTAAGACGACCTCACTAGATAGAGTGACGATCTTGAATGCATTATTAGGAATCAGCGGATGCAGGTGGCTCAGGACCATTTTTTATGACAATCTATGGAGGAAGTCTATGTTCAGTAATGGACAGATAATGGCTGAAATGATGATGATGATGATGTTAAATAAAACTACATACAGTTTTAACGTACTATTTTTATTTTTATATTAATATCTTCCGTAATCAAGTAATAATTATTTTCGCTTACAATTCTTAATTTGGAATGGTATTATTTATATTGTTTAGCTTAAAAATAAATAAAAAGTTACTTGAATTTACAACTCCAACGCATGCAAATTGTGTTTGCTAAGCAACAACATAAGGAACATGACAAAGAGTTTACGCAATGGGACTCTTTGGCTTCTTATAGATGTTTAATGACGATTTCTAAGTAGTGAAACCATTCTTTTTATGAATAAAAAGTAAAATACCTAAAACGTTAATTTAAAAACACATCACTGCAAAAGCAAATTACCAATCTAAAGAAAACAATCAGCATCAATAAATGTTGCAGGGACAATGTCTTATTTGCAGACTATGTTTCACTTAGAACTAAGTTAATTTTTTCATCATTAAAATTGTTATTTGTACATAAAAATAATACAGTGCCAACAACCACGATAAACTATAATAATTAAGTTATAAATACGACAATGGATATAAAACAATATAAACATTTAAGATCACTCTATTGCTAATTAATGCAGACAACATCCTGCTATCGACCCGCCATACACAGGATACAACATTTTCTGAAAATGTTTTTCTTATAGTTATGAACAATTACAATTGAGAACAATTGCACCAATGAATAAAAGCAGAAAACACACAAAGGGAAATAAAAGAGTCAAGGAAGAAAGCATTTCAAGAAAGAACAAAACATTAACAAAACAGTATATAATTTTATCTATTTTACATATAAGTTAGTATAATATAAAATTTATATTGATGAGCAAGAAGACTTCTATATAATTATATGAGTAAATATACGACTATAATTATAGTGAATATTATATTATTTCCATTAGTGAACGGAATATAGTAACATTTTATTCATTGGTACAATTTACAGGTACATAAACACTTTTCTTCAAAATGTAGCCAGATTCATAATACACAATAAACATTCAAGGCCATAATCTTGGGAAAAGCAGAGACTTATAATTAATGTGGTTATACGCTGCAAACATAATTTATTTCAATAGCTTTTCCACCTACAACACTTCAGCAATGTAAGAAGATAAAATTGAAACAATTTATGTTTGTAGCTCCATTTTATCTACATAATATCTACAAAGTATCTAAGGTATTGTTTGTAATAACATTTACGAGAATAATAATTACCATCTCAAGCTAAATTCTGTTAAGAAAGAGCAAACTTGCATTTTAAACATGAAATATATCCAAGCACATTACATAAATAAGTCGTAGTGTCCATTAAATTAATAGGTACGTTACGATACTTGCGCAGTCGAACCCAAATCCTATGAACAATCAATATTCCTTTTCACCTAACAAACCATGCAAAACCATAGTAAAATCATCATAACGTTGTTTCATAACGTTATATTAAATAATAAATTGCGAACATTCCTGTTGGGTCCCACTTTTTTTATTAAACCTATGACTGTGTAACATGCAGTACTAGAATCGAATTTCGGCAAGAATATCAAATGAGGTTTTGTCACGCCTTCTCCAGTTTTGATATTCCGTGCGCCGACTCACGGTTTACCTTCAAGCGACTCAACGAGCGCGAGACTAGTATTTCACGAATCATAATTCCTTCATACTTCTCCATTTCATACTTCATCTGTTTCAATACTGACGGTCATCGTAAATGTAAATCGCTTCCCCCGCTGATTCTTTTAGAGGGGGAGGCGGCGGTGGGAAGTCGAGGTCTCCTGGCCTGAACAGTTTGGAGGCATTAGGTGCGGGCGACGCCGGTGCAGGCGAACCGCTACCCGGAGAACCACCTCCACGGCGCTTTACCCCACTTGGGGAGGCAGCTGTACGGAACGATGATCTTCTTGCCAACCTGAAACAATAACAATTATCATTCATTTACTTATTTAATTAGTGCGTGACTATTGGGTAGTAGTACTAATGGGCGACAAAATTATAAAATCATGTAAGAATCCGTTTAAAATAAATACGAAAAAATTTACGTTACGTAATATATAAAATATATGTCATTGTATTGTAGTGTATTATTATTTTATGATATTTTAAAATCTATTTTATAGTCATGCTAAGATATGTGGTAACAATTAAATAATTTACACTGCAGCCATATGAATCCAATAATTGTTTTTTAAGTAAATATAAGCTACTACAAACAATGATTATATCCTACGATTTTAGAATGACATCACTATATATTTTAAAATTTTTTTATATACTTAAAATGAAAAATAAAAAAAGTCCGACTTTATAGACAAAGTCGATGGACTTTTGTCCCATTCGTGTTTCGCTCATGATAGGTATTGTGTTTGTCATTTCTGAGAACTCAGTGTTATTCGTCTGTACCCTGTAAATTCACTGCCATATTGCCCTCCAAACCGAAACACAGTCATACAAACACAACTGCTTCACGGTAGAAACACGGATGGGACAGAGGTGCCCAAGCAAACAACTTTGTACAAAACAAAGTCTCCCTATGGTAAATACCTCTGGTAAAAATAGTATATCATGAAATATTATAAAATCACGAATTTAAGAAGCAAATTATTTTTATTACGGTTACAAATGTTCTATTATTTAATATATCACTTTCGTATACGAGTTCTACGAGTAAACTTGTATACGAAAGTGAAATATTTTAAGGTTCACCTTAAAATATTTCTACATTTAAGTCAAATGGCATTATAATCATTTTACTTTATATAAAATTTTGTAATATAATAATATTAATTATACATTTGCATGCCTACATTGCTGAAGGCAATTAAACAGATGCCAAAATAGTTTTTTATTAATTTCTTTATTAATTTTAAGATTGTTTAATGCAAATAAATATTATTTTTTTTATTAATTTTAAGATTGTTTAATGGAAATAAACTCATTTCATTAAATAAGAAAGAACAGAAGAAAAATATATATTTAACATTTTTGATAAGCATATGTTTTTTTAATAATAAATTTCACTTGATATTAATTAACGATTAAGTTTAAGGAGTTACACGCAACTGAAATAATGCCTTTTTTCTCTAACCTTAAAAATCCCCGTAATGAATTTCGAATGATATGAAGCAAGAAATCGTTTTACCTCGAGGCCACTTCCTCGGGCGTCTCTTCTATTTCAAGCACCCAACTGACAGAGTCGTGCTTCTCAACGACTCCTTTGACAGCGGGTAGCGGAGGCGAGTCCGGCGCGGGGGACGCCACCGGCGACGGTGGCGAGTCGGGCGGCGGCGAGGACGAGCGGACCGAGTCGGCAGACGACGTGCGTGTGCGCATCGGCGGACGCTCTATGTAACCCCCGCCAGCTAACAGCGATACCACCTACAAATACAACAAAAATACTGTTATTGAACAGAAGAGTGTATATTTTAGCTAAGACACCTACCCTGAATATAAAATTGAATATAATTCAGTTAATTGTCTACAACGCTATAGAAGAATATCATTGTCATAATCGTAACAACCAATTAATTAATTTGCTAAACGCAAACCTCACCCATCATAAAATGACTACAAAGAAATTGTATTATAAAGATAAATATTCTTTAATTGTTTCCTCCTAAATATTTTATGAGAATAGCAAAAACAAAATTTACGTCATTCCGGAAAAAAAAGCTGTAGTACGTTACTGTTATAATTCTCTATTAAATTAATACGAAATTAGTAAATCAACATCAATACTGAAAAAAATTCATCACAAAATGAAAATTAGTAGCAATATGTTGACACCATAGATTTCACTATCACTTATGTGGAATGAATTGAATTAGTCACCTGAGATTTCTGCCTAAGCTTGTATCTGAGCTCCTCGTTCAAAGCTGCCAATCTCGTGGCGTGGTCTCTGTCCCGTGCGGCCGCGTCGCGGAGCCTCCTATTGTCGTCCCGCAACCTGTCGGCGTCGCGTTGCCGTGCGGCGGCCCGCTCCCGCAACTCTTCGGCGGCGTGCCTCGCAGCACGGGCATCGCGCTCTGCTGCGGCACGTCGTTCGCGCTCCGCGGATAGTTCTGAACGGGCATCGCGGAGTGACGCCATCTCCGCTTGCTTTAATTCTATCACTGCTCTAAGGGAGCGTACCTGTTCACGAAAATGCTCAATAGTAAAATAATTACCTTTCATACTAAATTAATAACGACCTGGTGGTTTGTTTAAAAAGTGCTTACTCTTTGTTATATAATTTGAGCATTTTAAATACATTACTATCTATCTATCTATAAACAGCTATGTCATAAATAGCTAGTAATTCATATAATCAATCCAAAACCACAGCTGTCATACCAATACAAGAAAACGTGCCTGATTTTTGGCATGATCTATATGTTTATTAGGACTAATAGAAATAGATATTAACCTCAGCGGCTAATTCGTTGGCATCTGTGCTCAGTTCCTCATTCGCAGATAATCGCAGCTCGCAATCTTCCGCTTCGCACCGGACCGGATCGCAGGCGGCGTCACACATTGTACAAGACTTGTCACACGCCGCATCGGCCGTTGCGCGCAATTGTTGCTTGCTATGTTCTACCTCAGCCCGCGCTGCTTCAAGCTGCGCGCGCAAGGTTCGCTCGATTTCGCTGTGCGCATGTAGTCGCGCCCTACTCTCGGCTACTTCATGTTTTAGAGACTCGATGGTGTCCTGAAAATAATACATAAATTATTTGTATTTGTTGTATATATGTCATATAATTTATTCAAATTTTACATAATAACAAATGTTTAGTACCTTAAGTCCCTTAATATCATTTGCAAGAACAGCAACTTCTTCGATGTGAGTGGCCTGGAGACGAGCGTTAGCTTCTTCCTTTGACGACACTTCTATCTCCAATTCTGAAATCTTGCTCAGACATTCCGCAACTAAAATATTAACAAAAATGATGTGATTATAAAAATCTTGAATTTAAAATACTATTTTGTTGTCTAGCATGGTCTAGCCTACTAACTTGTATCGAGATCTTTTTGTGCGCGTTGTTGGCGATCTCTGTCAGCTCGAGCAGCACTGCTGCGTTCCGCAGCTGCTACTCCTCGCCATTTTTCTGCTTCTAATCGCCATGAGCCACCATTTAATGCATCCAACTGAAAATAACATAATAAAATATAGGCATAATATAATTTATTACCTACATGTGTTAAAGAATGTAATAACGAGTTGATGCGAATACCACACGTGCATTTTCTACTAAAACTATGGGGCATCAAATTTTCTTTAATATCAGGCACAAACAAATTGAAACATATGTGTAAAAATACTTACACGGAATACTAAATACTGCACCAAAACGCCCAAAGCTTCGACGCCTTTGGCAGCGTGTGCAAGCGCGGCGGCTTGTTCTCGTGGCTGAGCGGGCAGCGGTGCGGTGAGCGCAACCGGGGGTGTGCGCACTTGTTGAGGCGTTTGTACCCGCTTGCCGCGTGGCCCGACTGCCGCTGCCACTCGTGGCGGCTCTGTAAATAAATAAATTATAATTTATATATAATTTAAAAACATTTTTACAAAATATATCTAATTATTATAGTCACAACATCAATAACTAGCGATCCACTCCAGCTACGCTCGAATAGACTATAAAAAGATAAATATTGTATATTAACTTTAATAAGCAAATTGATACTTTGAGTTACATCATTGTAATTTTTGTAAGGATCTCTATTTTTTAGAAAATATTAATTTAGGTTTCTATAAGTAAAAGACCTTTTAAAATCAGAAATTCTTAAACTATTTTATAACTTGTTAAACTTAATTAAACTTGTTACTTTACTCTGTAAGAGAATTACAGAGTAAAGCAACAAGTTTATTTACTCTAAATTATGTCTACAGTGAAATTTATTAAAATTACCAATTGGTCTACAATATAGCATTAGTCAACATACCCTAATAGAAAATGGACCGCTTCCTTTGTTTGTTTAAAAATTACACAACGGAACGGTTCACACAACATGTAAGAGACAATAAGAGTTTACAACAGGAAAGAATATATCGTATTTCGTTTGGCATTGTCGCTATTATCAAATTATGAAATCAAATCTTGTATCGCTGTCACTATGAGGTCGGAGACACTGCCACATAGGTTTATATAAGATTCATTAATATCACTATCTTTGGTAATATCTTATTAACTTCTAATTAACTATTGTAAAAGAGGAACTAATTACGTGGTATGTGACTATTATACAGCTCTTATCTCTCGTCTTAATAACAACATCAAATATTATGACGAATTTAACAACCCATTCATCTATATGTTAAAATTCATCTAGCCAACCTAAAGGTTGTACGTTATGCCAAGAATCCGAATATATTTGTATACATACCACATATACATACCAGAGGGAGACTTAGCACAAAAGTCGATTGCTTGGGTATCTCTGTCCCATTCGTGTTTCTACCATGAAGCAGTTGTGTTTGCATGGCTGTGTTTCGGTTTGAAGGGTGGGATATGGCGTGAATTTACTGGGTACAGAGGAATAACACCTGAGTCCTCAGGAATGGCAACGCATGGGGGGTATCATGGATGAAATAGTATTACTCTGTTATGTCCATGGTACTGCTCATGTCTATAGGCGACGGTTACCACTTTCCATCAGGTGGGCCGTCAGCTTGTTTGCCATTTTAAGTTGTATAAAAAAAAAACATAATTTTAGATAAAAGGCATTAATCTCCTTCCTTCTGTCCATCAGATAAAAATAGTAGTTGGTATTTTACATTTTCTAAAATTTCTCCCACTAGTGTGTGTCTATAAAATTATAGAGTGGAGGAGGAAGGGATTATTAGTAACAATACTAACAGCCTCAATGCTTCCAACGAAACTACATGTATCTCACAATAGTTTTTTTTTCACCCATCATCGCTTACTGGTGCCTCGTCAGCTTATAACAATTAAGAGTATACTTTATTTATACAATATAGGAAATAAGCAAGACAATTAACAAATATAACGATACAATTGTATAAGTACAGTAAGGCGGTCTTATTGCTGAGGGCTATCTTTTATTATCATCCATTAAAACAGTCATAGAAAAAATGATTATTAAAATAATTATTTTATAAGACAAACAGTGAATTATTACCAACTGATAATCGTTAATAACAGATGTGTAGTAGTTATATAAAAATAATTAAATTAATGCTCTATTTCAATACAATGAACGTGTCTAATAATAAATGATTTGTATAGGCACAGTGTAATCGCCACACACAATAGTCGTTTGTGTGATGATGAACCGGATAATACGACGGTTAGTATGAATGAAGGCTATTGTCATAGTAATCGAAACTAATAAAAACAATTGTCAGGAAAATTAGAACACATCAAATTATCTATACAGTGTATTACCGTTATTAAATAACCCATTTCTATTTTTTTTTTTCAATTTATTATCAGTCGAAAGACTGTAACTTAAAAGGTGTGAATCACATATATTGCTAATTGTTATCTTTTCATATTTTTATTATTTTATTTGCTATTTATTTACTGTCACTTCTGAAGTCAATTAAAACAAATACACACGAGTGTATATTAAAAACAATTACGTTAGCAGTACAAAGATTTGCTGAGAAATTTATGTATGAAAAATCTTTCATACAGAGTCAGAATTTTTTATGAATTACGCATAATGATTTTTATAAATGCTTAAGTTTGTTTTATTAAAGTAAATTATTTCATATTCAATCGCTTAATATTATTGCAATATAATTTTAATAATATTATATATTTTCATAATATAATATTTCAATTCCACATTCCTTTATAATCTTCATCCGTATGTGTTATGACAGAGCAACGAATCAATTTATTAATCATCTGTAACGTAGTAGAAATTGTATTTACAAATTTGATTTGTAAACGACCGCAGTAACCGCTGAACGAATCGCATCGTTAAAAAGATTGTGCTGAATGAAGATGACTTCCGGTTCCGACCTACTTTATCATAAAAAAAAAGTAAACCCCATTTATAGTTTAGTTCTCAGGAATAACAATCCATGAGAGGTATCATGTTTCACACCATGTATTCTGTCATGACTACGATACCACTGAAATTTACAGGTGACGGTTACCAATTTCTGTCAGATGAACTATAAGCTTATTTGCTTTTTATAGTTATGAAAAACGATACTTAATATTTCTTTTTTATTATTTAATAAAATCAATATTGTGTTATAAGATATTCACAGATGACTTGATAGATTGAAAGTGTTTTAATTATTTGTATTTTTCACCATTACTACACTCAATAAAAAACAAAGTCTTAGGCACAACACCTACATGTTAAATAATTCATAATTTACAACCTCGAATCCGGGTTAACTACTAGTTTGGAAACAGAATTAAACATTCGTGAATTGTAATTTTGTAAGTGAACAGTAACAAAATGAAAGTCGAGCAAACATTAATTCTTTTTTTTAGCAAAATGGAGATTATCTCGAAGAATTATTAACAAAAAACATGTATAAGTATGCAAATCACCAAATTATATAAAACTTTCTCATTTTGTCGACTAAGGCTCAGTGGATACCCCTACAATAAGTGAAAACGATAAAAATAAATATTATAATTCCTCTCACGGGTTACCTAATTAATTGCATATTTTATATATTCAACACGTCATTAGTCTTGACAATTTTATCGCGTCCTGTAGGGCACATGTCTAATTGTTAGCGTTGGGCGGTACGACAAATGAATTCTCAATTATTACGACTCATATCGGACAAAAAAATACTACCTATTATATAATTTAAGATTTTGTTTCACAAAAATAGCTAACATAGGACCGACATGGAAATAAACCCTACCAATCGGCAGGATTTATTTATTATAGGCAAAAAGAAATATTGAAAATGAAGTTAGAGAAAGTTAGATAATATCTTCGGAATCTTTGAATCTGAACCTTAAATAACTAATCAACCCACAAACGAAACTACTGAATAGAATAGTAACTAAAATTTTTACATACGTTTTTTTATAAAGCACATGAACATTAAAAAGAGGCTTTTCAAAAGATCCACAGGAAACGGTCACCTGTTAATTTGTTGATCTCTATAACTACGTACATATTCGCATTGCGGCTGTATTGCATATTGGAAGAAAAAATAATAGCCGAAAACGATTGAGCCTATTATATCTATAATAATTGCATAGTCTTGCATATTAATATTATAAATGTGAAAGTAAGAAAGTAAGCAGACAGACCTCCGGTTGCTTGGTGCTAACTAAGCAGATATTCTGCTCAATTTTCACAGACTGTGTAATTTTTTTATTAGAGACCATACTATGAGACCTTCTTCCCAATCTTTGTTTCAAGAATAGTAATATTATTAACAACAGTGAAATCAATAAATACAATGTACACAAATATTCCTAACACAATTAAATACTGTCAAAATATTAATATATTCCAAATGAATGGTTTTAGCGATGGAAATAATTTTTGTCTGTAATTCTTAAAAATAGTTTTTCCCACGCGCATATTGCCAGTGTCTAATAGTGTTCACGCACCATTAAGTGCTGCAGTAACGCCCGTTTCCGTTGCCTATGAATACATACAAAAAAATTAACAGCAAATAGAGCGCTCTAACTAAAGAAACAAGCGCCAGTTTTATTGATTGCCAAAAGTTGAAGTCTCGATACCGTAAGTCACTTACGCCTTAGTTAGAGACTTCAGTTTTAAACTTGATTCAAAATTAATATACTCAACGTAATTTAGGGTCTAACAGTAAATTTAATAATTTAAAACGATTAATACATATCAATCGTTTTAAATTACTAAAAGAGACTATAACACTAATAAATGTACCAGAAGTACAAGCAAGAAGTTCAATTATAACTTATTATAAACAATAAATAAATACCTACACATATACAAATAATATTTAGCGTTAACAGGATTTTTAAAAATCCTGACGTCTAGTTAACGTATAGGCAAATAAGTCAAGAGAAATGTTAGTCAAGTAATTCGAAGAATTTTAACATTATAAATCACATTACACAGTCGCCGTCCAATTTTAATGGAGACCAAGGATGACTACTTTCGAGTGCCTGGGAGCCGCTTCTCCGCGTTTCATCCACGGTCAATTCTGAAGATGTCGAGATGAAGGGCAACACTGTAAATACTGTATGTACATGACGACTTAACAACACCACTAGTGGTATTAAACACGGCAAACGAAGAGAAAGACTACGGAGACCAGTCGTTCATACTCGAAGAGTTCCCAACGTCGTCTTTCTTATTTGTGACGAGGTCGTAAGCGCCTACAATGCGTGCTCGCGGACCGATGCACACAGTCAGGCTCATGCTCGCATCATAGTCATTCATGACTAAGGATCACGAATTGATTCCAAAACTAGTTGGGCTTTTTCGATCTTATTAACGTAAGTTAAGTAGTTATTACATTAAAACACATTACATTATACAATCAAGAATTATTTTAAGCTCAGTAACTCAACATT